CCATCTCAAAGCAACTACCCCTCTGCCGCGGCGCCATCCACCGGAAACGGACCCAACCTCACGAGCACTAATACTCTGAGTCGGCCACTCGCGGTCTACAGATTCGTGTTCTTCATAAGCTAAGCCTGACCCGTAGCTTCTAATCCAGCCTGGTCAAACAACAGCGGCGGCGCATCCCTTTCCCGCTATTTTAAAACTGGGTCCGGTCTCTCCCATGCCTTTGATATAACAGAACTTGCGGCGGCTGGCTGTGCCTACAGTCTGACCGCGCGGAGCAATAGCTGGCGTCTGTTACTCACCGCATCGGCCCCCTCCGGGTAACTAGGTGCTCCGCCATTCTGGTGTCCTCCTTCGTCCCGCTGTTGGAGGATGTCCTCCAAGCCTTCTTGGCCTCCGCCGCGCGATTGCTCGCGCTCTGCCATCACTTCGCTGTTACTGGCGACCGATATGCCAGCAACGTCAAATCGCCTTATCTATTTTACTATTGAGCTGGGTCCCGAATACAAAGTAAATCACTATTTAAACAATTCAAAATCCCCAACAGACGACGTTCTGACTTGCGCTTGCTTGCACGGTTGACTGGCGAACTAGCGTTGTCTGGATTCAGCGCTTTGTTCCCAGCTAATCTTTGTAACGCACTACCGTATCAGTCACTGTCCTCTGGCCAATTCCGGTCTGCTCCTCCCGCGCCGCACTTGCCGTACTACACTACAGGACGAGCACTTAATCAACATGCACTGCCTACGTGCGTTTTGCGGCCTTGTCCCTTGTGCCAGTGAATGCTGTTTTCCGTTGACAGCTCATACGAAAAACCAACCCCTGGCAGCCCTGAGCGCCTGAGGCCTTTGGCACAGCCCACAGGAATTCTTCAGGATCAGAGCAGTATATTTCTGAAATACTTTGTGCCGAATCAAAGGGATGAAGTACCTATGAAGTTTATTTGTTGTGACCTAACCTAAAAGTGACCTAACCTTATGGTGTGCAGGATGCGCGCGACAGGAATGGACTGTGTAGACCTTTCCGAAGGATCAAGTGCCCTTTAGTCAAGTAAGGAGCTTTCCAGCCAATTTTGTAACATGCAGGTGATCGATTTTTATATGCGTACACCGACGTACACCTGTACGTGACGGCTCACGAAAAGCGGCCCCGAGTGGCAAACCCTAGCGAATCGAGGAAATTTGAATTACACGTCATCGGACTAGTTGGCCCCCACCTTACATGCTTCCACAGGAGCAACATGACTCACAAATTGACAGGCGCCATTTTCTGCGTTCTATTCTGCCCACTGCGTGCAACAAATAAAATGTCATCATCAAACCTTGTGTCTGTATCTGCCTGCGACGAACAGATTTCTGGGCCAAATTCCTAGGGTTTACCACTGCTGTGACTCCTCCCCATAACGAGCTGTTCAACCTACACTATACAGCTCATTATCGTACATGTACGACACCATACGACAACATTAACGGTACCGTATGGCCCGTACCTATGTCCCTGAAACTGAGAGCACCACCAGGACGCAGACATCGCGTGCCCAGCAACAAATACAAACACTACAAAGCATGTTGAAGCTAGTTTATCATCAATCACCCAGCCAGCCACTTACACTCACACATTCAACCTCAAAGCCTTACCCACATGCATTCCTAACCATGAATGATGGTTACAGTCGATCCAAACAGTGGATCCAAACAGGGACCGTAACCAGATTACCGGTCCTATTAGCACATAAAAACTATGTAACACACCAGCTTTCTAGCCACCCATCGCCGTGTGCTCGCCCGCAGGCATCGGTCCACAGACATCCGCACACGCAAAAAGACATGGCATGGTGGTTATGCCTCCTTAGGGTTAGCCTCATGGACAACACCGTACATACATCAAGACCCAAAATGCATGTTCCTGTCTTGCCGCCTCAACATTGCCAGCATTGGGAGTTTTTCCTGCCGTATTCTGCCGGTCATTTTCGTTTGTTGGTTGTTTCTAACGGTCCATCTGGCTCGTACTCCAACAGGACGAGAGCGATGAAGTGTACATGTGTGTGCGTATATATGTAAGAACCATGGCCATAAAAAAAGAGCCGATACGCAAGAAAGAACGCATGTCGTGCGAACGCCGTACACCGTACATGATGCCATAATTAAAGCATCTTAATGCTGCACTGTAACACTACTTAGACGCAACACGTAAGACGCCCCTGGCACATCACGTGGTTCGCGCTCCATAGAGTGGCTCACGATCTGGATTGCTTAATTTGGCTACCCGTCAGCCAGGGTGCGGCCTATTTAGGACACGCCTCTGCCGACCGGCACCCACTTTGCATGCAGTAGCCCACCCGCACCGTGCAGAAACAGCAACCAACGAGAAACAAAAAATGTGCCCCCAGTGTCATACATACATTGACACAAACGGCTAATTTTTGCGCGCGAGCTACATGCCTACCTTGCCCCCTACCGATAAAGCTTTGAATACACAACTTTGCAAAAACGGACCTCGACATGCTATTTGAAACAAGCTGCACATTAGAATCAACAGAGAAGCCCCCATTTCCCCCTTCTCCCCCGGGAAAGAAGGGGGAATCTTACCTTGCGGCTGAACGGGTTTTTCCGCCACTTCCGTATGCCCTCCTCTACACCGTTCATCCCAAAGTGGGCAGGCAAAGCAAACATGGGTTATGAAACCATGGGATTTCCCCCGATCGCGATAGAGTAGCAATAATAACCAACACAACGAGCGTTGTCCCACGTGCGTGCCCGCGCCTAATCAGGACACAGACGTTGCAACTCAGGAAGGCAACGTCTCGTGTTCATACGTATGTATGTGTGTGCGTGCATGCGCACCCATCCCTCGCTACCTCCTCCCCCTCTTTGCAAAGAGGCAATACCATTATACGTTGATCGCCACGCCAAACCAGGATTAATTACTTCAAGAACAATAATACTACCAGCCAACAGCCCATCATTACTTCTGACAGCAAGGTTTTTAAGCCCCAATCACGCACGTAATGAAAACAGCCTAACTGGAAGCCGACCAACCAAACTTGATGGCCTGCACTCGCTCTATGTTCGTGTCCCTATGCAGCAAGGAACGGCACCAGCGGCGGCATGTACGGCAGTCCTGCGATTCACTCAGTATATGAATTAAGAGCCAAAGAGCGCAGCTGACCAGCAGTCTGGCATATGCACGCGCATGGGAACCGCACACGAAGACTACTCACTTCCTTTGCTGTCTATTTTTCTTCGTTTCAACCGTCATTGCTGTTTTTGCATGCGAAGGCCGTGTCTAAGGATGCTAAATCACGAAAACATAAATACACGCGCGCACGTAGCGCCGAGCGATGTTCCGTCCCCCAAAATAAACAGACATACATATGACGGTATACGCCCGAGAAGCAGATCCCAAAGGCAGGTCAGGGGTGTTCCCCAACCACCGCAACCCAACAAACGGAACGGGCTGCAACACAACACGGAAAGAAGAAAAGAAAAGAAAAGAAAGCAATATGGGTAATGGGCTTTGACGGTTATCGTCGCAAGTTTATGCCGTTCGGTTGCTTTCTGCTTTCTGCCTTCTGTCTTCTACCTTCTGCTTTCCAAAACGTTGTCAGACCCAGCTGGATGCTGCTGCACACACCCCGGTCATCATGCCGTCTTTTGCAGCTCTTTTCCCTCCGCACATGTCATGTAAAATTATCGTACAATACGCTCATGCTCGCGCTCAGGATATGTATATTCAAAATGCAAATATGTCAAAAAGTAATAACACTATATTGCCCGCCTGCTTCATGTAATGCACATGCCTATGATGCCTATGATCATGACGACGATGGTGGGTCTGCGGAAGCGAGGAGACGTCAATGAAAAGCCCGGGCAACCGGACTGCGAGCTATTTTTTGGCGGATATCTATGGGTCAAAATGAAGACGAGTCAGCACGTGAACATACGCAAAAAAAACAGGCGACGGTAAGGCCTTTCAGGGGACTAGATGCGCCACGTCTTCTGCGCCTGAAAAACCACCTTCTGCCGTGCCTGCGGGTGCCGAGGCGTCGCCCTCAAACAGCACCTCCGTTGCCCTTCTTTTTATTGCGCTTACGGGTGCGCTACCGCCTGTGTAGTTGTAGCTGCCCACATACCCCACAGCGTACTGCGAGCACGTCTTGCTGTTGACCGCAACACTTTCCAAAGTCTTGGTGACACGCAGTACGGGATTGGTATACAGAAATACGGTAAGGGTAACGTTCAGGCGGCCCCTAGTGTACCATCGTACACAGACGTCGTACTGCGTTGGGCTGGGCTCCATCCCTGTTAGACCCGTGGGCCAGTAAACCGCCTGTGGGGTACGGACATCGTCGGTACAGGTCGTCGTACAAGCATGAACGAATGTGAATGTACGGCATATCTGTTATGAACCAGGAATGGCATTTATGAAGAGAGTTCGTGAGTGCGCTGATTACATTGGCGGGTTTTTAAGTTGGAAGGAAATCCTACGGCTCGGCTCGCCTTCACGCAATTTTGTTTTCACTGAAATGGATGTCGTACAGGGCACAAGGAACTTCCCGGCCTAGTAAATGTCTACCAAGTAAGCTTCATGTCTTCGCAGCAACTGTTTTGGGGCGCAACTGTGAATATGTTTCAATGCCACAGGATAGGATGCCTCGGCCCTCCGCTGCTTTTGGCAGAAAGAAGGGAACCTTGTAATGACCTTAGAGGCCATCGGAAGCCACACCACGCACAACACCACAACAGACTCACCTCACTGTTCCCAGGCACGGAAACCCTCATGTTGTCGCCGCCGTGTACGGCACTTGCGACGAAGCGCAAGTACGGCGAAATCTCGTACGCCGCCCCGCCGTAGCTCCACGTCACCACCAAGTCCCAGTCAAACAGAGTCGGTCCTGCGGGGCACACAAGTGACTGAGTGAGCCGATACACTAGATCCAGACTATAGCATGTACTGCAGAAAAATAAGAGGAACCATCGGCACTATAACAGTCAAAATTTTACGCTGACTGCCGTACGCGACAGTCAGATGTTTAGCGAGCGTCGGCCCCGGGGTTGGATAAAAATCATTCATACATACATACATATATATACATAACATAACGCGACTTTCTTCCACACTTTCACATGTACACTACATACATACATACATACATACATACATACATACATACATACATACATACATACATACATACATACATCTGACATACATACATACATACATACATACATACATACATCGACCTGGGGAGGTGGAGTTCGCCGGTGTCCACTGCACCAGGAAGTAAAGACTTGTCGCAGACGACGGCACAGGCGGTGTATAGCAGTTGGAGTAGCCCAAATCGTCAAGAAGACTTCTAGCCTGTCCAAGCCAGTAGCTGTCGATGTAGCCGATTGCGCCCGGGACGCAGGTTTCGGACCAGTCGAACGTCGTGTCAACCATTGTCGTGGACGTCGTGAATCGAGTGCCGTGGTAGACGGAAAGCATAACTCGCGCCAGGGGCTTCGGGTTTCCGTTCCACCGAACACAAACGTGAAGCGTGTTAGTCGCAGGTAGGCTGGCGCCCGCAGGCCAATAGACGTACTCATAGTTCGTACCGTTATTACGGAGGTTATCACCGCCGTACACTGCTCGGCCGGCAGTGAGTGCGACGCTGCCGACCATGAAGGTGGTGTTTCCCTCTGTCCACGAAACCAAGATGTCGAAATCGTACGGCTTGGACGAGCGGCCTGAATTCATGACCGCCGTGTCATGTGCGGGTGTTACATTGCGAGTACTAATAATTGTCTTAAATTACATTTGTCTGTCTCTTTGTCTATACGTCTGTGTGTTTGTCTGTGTGTGTGTCTGTGTGTCTATGTATGTATGCATGTGTGTGTATGTGTGTAACACCTCGGTTGCGTTAGTTACCCCGGTAGATAGATAGAGGGAGGTGTAACGAGGGGTGTGCCAACACACGAGCTGGCAGATAGAGGCGCAAGAGCCTCCTAAGAGCCACATAACCTAGATTTGGGGCATAACGTGTGATAGACAAACATATTAGCTGTGGGAAGGTGTCGCGCCAGATAACTGTAGCCGCCTCGACAAAGCATGTGCATGCGCACACGGGAGACTCTCTAGTGCGGTCCACTAAGTGACTAGCTAGCCAGCCGCTCACAGCTGAGGTCAAACAGGGCGTTACCTTGGCAAAACCCATCACCAAAGACGCGTGCGAGAACGAGAAAAATAAGATTCCTTGGGAAAAGTTATGGAGAAAAAATTACCCCAATACCCCAGCACCCCAGCAAATTCCCCCCAGTCCAGGAGCACAGATGGCAATAATAATGGAACTATCGCAACAGTCGCCGTTCATCCCCCGCCGGATGAAAACATGAGCAGAAACAGAAGTTCGAACAAAATATAAAGACAAGGGCAGGTTGTCCTGTAATGTTGGCCTCCCTACATTTCCCGTTTTTCAAATGCATTACGCGGCACAAAAAAACAAGACAACAAAGAACACCGGGTGCCTGGGATCGAAACCTCCAGAAACGTATACTTTTGACATCGACTTGTGACGCTATATATAATCCATGCCACGTGCCCCAGCAGCGTACCTCGGACGCCAGAAATAATGGTCCAATCTGTACGGAGAAGCAATGGATACGGGTACGACTGCTGTACGATTGTTGGGCTGGGTGGCGGCGGCGGTGGCGAAGGCGCAGATGGGTTGAAGCTGCCCACATAGCCGGCAGAGGAGGGGGTACAGGAGTAATCCGATTGACGCGTCGTGTTAAATACCTTGGTCGTCGAAGCCACTGCGTAGCCTTTGTACATGGTTAAGACCACACGGGTCGTCGACGTCTGGGTGCGTGTCCAAGCCACGCAAACATAGAAATCCGTCGGTGGCGGGCTGACGCCAGCCGGAAAGTAAACAATTTCGTACTGCGTACCGTACTTCGTATTGTCACCACCGTACTCGGCACCCGTCGTGGCGCTGATATTATCCGCGTTCTGGGCCCAGCGGCCCATTGTGTACGTTGCACCATTCCAGGTCCAGGAAGCCATAATATCCAAATCGTCCAACGGAACGCCGTACGAATAATCGCCGTAACCATTATGACCCGCCATATAGTCATAGTCGTTCAAGTTAACGCTTCCTGCAGCATATAAAAATTATGAGAATGTTTTAATGATGAGAATTATAGCACTTATGCAAAAAGCCCCGGGTTGGCGTCGATCCGGAGAGGCATTGCGAATCACTTTCGGTAAGCCTGCAATTCAGCTATAACTGGTGGCAGATATATAAAACATACTTAGGACATGGCCATCCTGCTATCACGTAAAACATGCCAAATCTGACTGGCCTGCGGGAAATCCCAAGATGGTACTTCTGTATGTTCACTACACAATAATGCTGTACAGTTTGACTGTGCAAGGATTCTACAGGAATTAACAAGCGAGGTGGAAATAGGTGGAAATTTGGCATAAGCGGCCAACGGCTAACCGCCAACGGCCAACAGACAGATACACTACATACACGACATACAGGTTATGATAACAGCGCACGTCCTTCAAATATGCAACTGACAGTACCTTTTAGCAGACTAGTAGGGATCGGGGAAAAGAAACATGTGCTCCTGCGCCGTTTTGCATACGTACATGTACCGTAAAGCGTACGAACAAAATCGTACCTCCGATAGGGTACCAGTCGGTACGGAAGACCAAGCTGTACGGATACCACTGCTGTGGGGGGGCATTCGGGCTGGGCGTGGGCGGCGGCGGCGACGGTGGCAGCATCCGTGGCGGTCTCCCAGCCGTGAAGCTTCGGATCTCAAATCGCTGATCAAGGTCGTCGTCGGTGCAGGGCATCAGCACGACGAAGCTCGCAGAGTTTTGACGCAAGCATCGCGGCGACACGCCAGTAGCATTGATAGCAAAGCTCGGGACCACGAAATATAACGGCCTGCATGCATGCATGCATGCACTCACGCACATGTCCGCCATGCAAAAATCCTGTCATTCTCCACCCTCCGCTATCAGGCGTTCATCAGTACGACATATGTGTAGGGTCGACGGTTCAGGACCTGAGGTTGACTAGGTGCTGCTGCCTTTCTTCTGTTCCTGTTCACGCCGAGAGACTTCAAATCTTCCATCAAGCGTGATAAGCAATGCTTGTGATAGAAGGCTACCTTCATTAGCTAAAATTTGGTGTCCTGGAAGTTTTAGGGTTTTAGGGTTTTAGGGTTTTTACTCCGCAGACAAACATTGCCATCCGCATTGCCAACCGCAAAACATATCCAGCAACACTCACGTACCCGTCTGCTGGGTGCCCCAGGAACAGGCCGAATTTCTGTCGAGCGTCGGTGGCGTTGCAGGTCGCCATTATTGCACGCGTGCCAGAAATATTGCCAGGCACGGTTATGCATCGACCCCAGACATCGCGTATGGTGTAAAGCCAGCCGCTGTCAGACAGTAACGTTGGGCCTATCCTTGGGTCACCTGCGAATGTGAACAATACCACGATCTTGTTGCAAAATGCTCATTCGGTATATGTATATATTTAGATAGCTATCTATAGCCCGCAAGGTCTAAAATATTTAGCATGGACATACATACAAACACATACACACATACACAAATAAGCCTAACACTACGAAAACTGCCTAGCTAACAGCATATACCTGCGGGTGCCGGTTCCTCAACTAGCGTTAGATTCGCCGACGATGTCGTACACCCCCCGGTAAGAATGGACAAATCGGTTCTGGAGTACACGCAGCGACTTCCTCGTAGCCGCATAAAGACTTGAGTGTCCTGCAGCACATCCGATACGCGGGAAGCATTTTATTCCTCATGAGACCGTGCATTTCTGCATTTCCGAGCGAGTGTGTATGTGTGTGTGTGTGTGCGTGTGTGTGGTTGTTACAAGTGGGCGAGCACGCATTGCAGCGCACCCATGTATGTGTGGATCCTGCAGGCAGGTTAAGTTCCTGCAAAATAATACTGAGCTGACATGCTTTGATTCAATTATACACATCGACATGCCGTACACATATCATGTGTACGGCATAGTAAGCAGGACGAAAATGCGCATTCACATCGAACAAACAGCCATTGGATAGATATTATTCCTAATAACAGATGACATATGTTTGGAATATTGTTTGAATATGGTGTGACACAAAAGAACTACGCACATGCCGGCCGGCCGTACATACGACGACCGCTGTTTGCCCTAAGCATGTGCCTGTTAGCACAGGCGTACCAACATGTTATGAATGTGCCGTAGTGTACGACAGCGACAGTACGACGCACCAGCAGGAACCTCTGAGGTCGTGTGTAGGCTGGGTTTAGGGGGGTCCTCAACGTGCCATTGAAATGCCCGGCAACCATCACCGCCCAGCGCTGAGGCAGCTCAGCATCCGCCCCAGAGAGCAAGTAGCTCCGAAGATTGCGGCCGTACACGACTAGCGAGACCCGGTCTCCAGCTCTGACGTCCCTTGTGGATAGCTCAACCCTCTCCACATTGTTGGTATTATCTGTACGTATGCATGTACGTACGTATGTATGTAAGTATGTGCGCATCAATGAGGGGAACTCGTTACAGTAAATCCCAAGGGAAAATCTAGTGTCGTGGCGCGTCATGTGTGCTGACGGAGTGTGGAGGCGTGCGGAGTTGCTGCTGCGTACTCGTGGCGTGTGTTTTTAATAAATACGTAGGGGAAGGTTGGTTCCTCCTCGTTGCGGCTACTTATGCGGCAATCAATTTATTCAATGTCACTTTGCTTCAATTCATGCAACCGTGAGAGGCCGATTATGAAGTTTAGCTAAGGATGGCCGTCTGCCATCTCGTCTGCCATCTCCTTGACGTACATGTACGACAACAGTTCCAAGGCGAAACCAAGTACGGGAATTGAAAACCCCAGGTGCTCCTACGAACAGACTTCTTTGTCCGAATGGCGAAACAATTACATACTACAAATGTCGGACAAACGAGGCTGCCTTCTGCGAATGAGCCAACGTACGTACCTGTACGTGTACGAATGTACGACGTCGTATTGATCATATAGCCAAAATCCAGGTCGTTGACAAGGTTCTTCTTTGCGGCTGGGCTTGAAGGATAGTCGTGCCATACGAGTGCCGCAACAATCGGCCTGCAAGCAGGCAATGAAAACAGATGGCGAGGTTTCGATTTTGCGCTGCTTCACACCGAACTTCACAATAAAATAAAACTTAGCGCAACGGCGGAAAGGTTGCCGGACGTGATGTTCAATGTGCATGTACATGCCAACACATGCGTATGTAAGACAAATACAGGTAGACGTGTATTTGGAATCTCCGGTCTCAAGGAAGGGGGGAATTGTTATGTCATCGCGACCACAACAGTTGCAGGAAAGTACCGATAGGCGGATGCAGATCCCCTGATATGCCCGGAATATAGAACAGGAATGTCCATGTCCATGTCCATGCCCGTGTTCAACTGCGCACAGGTACGCACCCATACACACATACATACAGAGGAACACACCGGAGCGGTAAAATAGGCGTGACGCTCAAGTGATGTGACACCCGTCGTTTCGTTAATCTAGCATAATCTACCGATTTATGGTTGGCTTGCTTCTTCGAGCTCTTTCGACGCCGGCGGATACCCCTAAGACGTATACTTAATATTTACATAGGTCAGGCACTACTGGTCAAGCACACGCCAATGCCCCCGGAGGTTCCGTGATCGAGACCTGTCAGGGTCAAAAAATCCTTTCCGACGGTGGAAGATAGAAGTGCTCCTAGTTGATCGACGGTGTTGACCTGGGATTAAGTTAATCTGCGCGCTGACCAGGAATGGAGTTGGGCCGCTGTCGACCCGGCAGATCCCGTTGGATGCCGCTGGTGGGTGCGGAACCTGAGCGATCCACTGTGAAGTTGACTAGGGAGGCCGGACGAGAGTGTCCCGAAATACCGGGGAAGGCAGGGTCTGCCAGGTAGCGGCCACAGGTTGAAGATATGGCCCCCCTGTCCCACACATCATAATATTCCCAAAATACTACACATACATGCATTTCTGGAGGACCAACCGTTCAGGTTAGTGGCGGTAAGGGGGAGGCGCGCGCGGGCTACAATCCTCCCCCTGCGGTTTTCCGGAGGGTCTAGGAGCTGTGTGTCGTGGCAACGCTATCGCTTTTGTGGTTTCGCCGGTCTATCCCGGGCCCCTGCAGTGGTGATCGGGCTTGTGCGTGGTCCCTTTTCTTTATATGGCTACTTCTCCCCTGGACCAGCCCAGGAAGGGACAGGTGGTGGAGGTCAGTTGTTTTAAGGTGGTTGCAAGACGTCTTGTGGTGTCGAGCTCTCTTAGCCTTTCTCTCTTGGAGGTTTTTAGTTGGCCTGTTAGGTATATCAGGAGCCCTCCCGTGCCGGGACTGCCTTAACCGAATTTTTTTTGTTTGTTTTTTCCCTTCGAATCCCGTTTTCGTTGGTGGTGTTTTGGGGGGTTGTTTCAGAGAGCCTTTGACTTTGCCCTAGCTGAGACTTGTGGACTCGCTCTAGCGGGAACTGAGAGCCCTTCGTGGTGTTTTCACTGCAGCGCCATCCCCGGATGGAGTGGCTGCGGAGTGGCTGCATAGAGTGTTGGCAGTCTGAGTCGGGGTCGGGAGCACACAAGACTAACCGACTTGTGCTGTGTGCTCCCGACCCTTGCGCTGTGTTTCGGCTTCGGCCCCCGGCTCTCGCGGCCCACAGTGTAATCTAAGTCATACATGCATACATGCATACAAGCATACAGGCATACAGGCATACATACATACAGACACACACCCGGTTCCTGTCGCCACAAGGCCATGCAGGTAGATCCATTCACCCTGGTCCACGACACCAAAATCGGCAACTGCAACCCGAAAGAGCGGGTGTGTAAGATTGGGCAGGGGCAGCATCCTACTGAGGTCGAACCGGCCCCATCCCTGCACGTGCACATGTACATGTACACCAACACGGTGGAGGGCAGCAGCAGCGGGAACAGCGATTCATTTTTCCATTCCATATCCACATCATTTCCAACTACCTCGCAACGGTGGAGGCATAGGTTATAGTTAGTTTTCCTTAAAACACACACACAACAAAAAACAACTTGACAATGTCAAAAACCTTAAGCAAGTCACACGCATGAATACCGGCTTAGCACTTGCACAAACATGCTTCCGTCTTCCGATTTCGCAGTGAAGTGTATGCCGTATACTATGCCGTACTACCTCGTATTACCTCTTGTGTATTTTTGTCTTAAATGTATTTTTGTAATTATTATGTGTCACTAATATAAATTACCTGGTAGCCATCCGGTGCTTGACCCAAGGTGAAACCTCCGTTGCCCGCAAAGCCTCCCTGCGCTCCGTCGGCGGGCGTGCACAGCGGGTAATGGTGGGGGGAATTGCCGTACATTAACCAAAAAGGGTTGATGTAAATGACGAAGAGGAGACGATGGAGAGACAACGCAAAAACGCAGTAGCACACGGGAAGACGGACACTTGCTTCAGAAATGGTTTATCAGTGATGGTGTGGTGAAAATACAGATACGGCATCAAAAGGGCGTGTGCTGTTTAGCCTGAGTGACAAGTCGCCGGTGAGGACGAGAAAACCCAAACGATAAACGCATCCACATGCGTCACACAGTTACCAGCCAATCACTAAAAACTAGCGTCATTGCCTTTTGGGAATTTATCCAACGGTACGGCACGCATACGTCATACCGACATGTACCCCACATAACTACACAGGTAAGGAAAGATGAGGACGCATATATACAGACATACAGACATACATACGACCAATAGCTGAACTCACCGTCATGGAGCTTGCACCAGCAATAGCTGCCGCCTGCGGATAGGGTTGGTTGTGCGCGGCGGGGAAAGGGTATGGAATGGATGTAGTAGCTGCCGTACACAGTACGGCACACATTATCCCTACAAGTACGCGCTAAGCGCGACCGCCAGCATCTCAAGAGGCCTTTTCAGCGGAGGCCAGCTAATACACTGGATAATAAGCCAGTGGCCGAGTACATTTACATGCACGGACTTTGCGTGGATGCGCGTGCGACCGAACGGAAACCAGGAGAAGGGAGGAAAACGAAAGCCCGATCGCCGAACGGGGAAATGTTATAAGCAGATGTAAACGATATGATACAGCATCTACAGCATCTACAGCATCTACAGCATGCGCGGGTGCGGACCGTTGTTGGTTGACAGTAACCGCCAATAAGGATTAGAACTCGGTTATAATGATGTACAGAACACGCGCAAAAATTGTTATGCAGCAGCAGGGCTGTTGCAGTAATGTTGCAATTGACAACAAGTGTTGCAGCAGCAAGGCTGCTATTACTGCGGCTTCAATTTAATTTTTTTTAATTCCTCTTGCCATATGTCCTGATAAAGCTATAGCTGCTGCGCTCAGCGTAATGACCTAAAACACGTCACCGCCAACAGGAGTGCTGTATGCGTCAACCCGGCGGGGCATGTACGGAGGTGCATACGAGCCGCACTGTGTGGCGACCTCCCAGCTATTTTGTGGATAACAGTAAGGACTAAACACATCATATCCGTACAGATGACGTGGTTCGTACGTTACCTCGCGCATAGCCTCTTCAGGAAAGCATTTCAGAAATAAATGGACCCATACACAAGGTCATACGGTGTAGGCAGAGCCACTTATAAATTAAGGCTCCTTAATAAGGGTTATGAGGAAGAAAAGCCAGCAGTAAAGTGGTAAGGCTTCTCCGCATGCGCACATGTTTTCACCGTACTCACCTTCAGCAGCATGCCCGACGGCTCGAAGCCAACCGAAGCGGGGTCCTGCGAAATTCCCAAGGGGTAATAGCCGTCCCTGCGCGACAGGGAAAACATTAGCTCACTTTGAAGCCGCCGTCATGAAGGTCTTCGGTTTTATCGACAGCTCAACGCATATACGTATGTACATATAGACAGACAGGCAGACAGACAAACATCAAGTAAAAAATACCGTATTAACACGTCACATGTAATTGGAAAACATCAGTTGTTTATTACACCGTCCATAACCCCCCCGCTACACGGACGGCCCTGCACATGTACAGCGCTTGCAGCTTGCAAATATCATGCGCTTACGCACACGCATACATACATACATACATACACGCGCCTGTACATACATACCTAAAGTACTGGCGGGCCAGTGCAAGGTGACCAGCCACCAGGGGGGTTGACATGGAAGTCCCCTGCAGTAGCGACATACGGACGATGGTGTGTGTAGGTGTACATGCGTGCAGTGCAGCATGCGCGCAGTGCAGCAGACGGATACAATACAAACCAAATGCTGATGCGTGACATACGTGGAAGGGCCTCCAACACCAAGATCGGTTCCCGGGAAAGTGGGAGGCACAAATTGAGCAGGACACGTCAGTTTGCAAAACGTGACGCGACGTATTTTGTTTTAATCCATGGTCCCCGGGCTTTTGATGGACACCTTTCCCCATTCCTGCGGGACTTGTAGTTACACTTGTAGCGTGTAACTTGTAACGAGGCATGGGTAAGTGACCCGGTTCTAGTTACGTGCTGTCCCACAGGCACAAGACGTTTGGAAGTACGAGGGCGCACACACATATACACACACACACAGACACACACACACAGACACACACACAGACAGACACACACACAGACAGACACACACAGACAGACACACACACACGAGTAAAAACTATTCGCAAGGGGCCCGGTTGCCCGGCTTTTGCATGTGCAGACGGGGGACGCGGGGAGGTGGAGGAGTGCGCGCGCACCGCTTTCTACACATCCCCTTCATTGCTGCCAGCAGGCACATGCACGCTACCCGTCTTCGGGGCTATAGCTACCTGTTGCCTCTCACGACTCGTGATTTGCTTTTACGCATGTTATGTAGGCGAGCAGCCAACTCGAGTCGCATCACGTTAGGAGGTGTTTGTGTTGGTGTGTTGTGTGTGCAGCTAGTCATGTGTTGTGGGGGATATTAATATTATTACATTCTCTCTCCAAATGGACGCAGTCGCTACAAAAGACGGTCTGCAGAAGCTTGCAAGACGGTGCCAGCTAACAGCTCTCGAGTACCCGTTCGTACAAGTGGACGAGCTGTTGACAAGGAAAGGTAACCGAGATGAAATCGGAGAACGAGTCTGTTAGACTCGTGCAGATTTAGTTGTACACACGGTTGGTAATGCACACACACCTGTAGTTGGATGGTGGAGCTCGAACAAGTGCTGGCTGCATGTACACACACAAAGCAGGGATCAAGAGATGATGCAGCACGCAAGAGCATGCTAAATAATATAATAATAAAAATATTAATACTCCTCAGCCTAAGCTAGGGCGTTTGTATTGCGGGGACGGGAGTGGAGAGGTTGTTACGGGTTTACCTCGTCGGCTTTACCTCTGGCTTGGCACCTACCTACCTCCATCTACGCCGCCGTACTTAAGAGCAAACTAATAACGTATAAAATTGTGCAAACGTTATTGTGAATCATTCACTACTTAAGTCATCTATGCATGCGCGACGCAGTCGTAGAAAATTTTAACAAGCTCATTAAAGGATTTAGCCTGAATCCGGCTGCTAGCGTATTACTAGTGCGTCGCTGTCCTAGCTATATACCTCCTCTGAACAAAGGATCTACATTTATATTTATGGATACTTTCCTGACTATTTTTAATGCACCTAGGATTAAGCCTAGCCTAGCCAAGCCTTACTAGCTTAGCTAGCGACCGTAACTTCCGTGCTCGCTTATGCCCTCACACCCTTGTTAATAACGCAATTTCTTTCAAGTGCTTACAGTTAGCGTCCGGTCTAATACCCGGTCCGGATGCGGCCGACTCGACAGCGGCGCCAGGGGCAACGATGTCCGGCTTGATTCGGCCGTCGGTGAACGGGCCGTAACTGGAGAAGTAGGGTAGGCTGTTGATGCCCATGTCGACGTTCGGCTGTCCAGGTGAGTGCATGTATGTATGTATGTATATATGTGCGAAACGCAGGCAGGGTCGTGACACGTGCGTGCACATAAACAAGCGCAGGAGATGGGAGGGAAAAGGCGTGGACGAGTAACAAGTTAATAGGCGAAAAACGGTTTTTTGGATTTGCATTTTAATTTGGACGGCTATAGTTGTACAGCTATATTATTAGTTACTTCTGTACAACACATATGTAATGCCGCTGCGGAACAATGAGAAAAAAGTAATGTTGTATTCTGTAAGGCATATCACGGGATCTGTATCCGCCAATCGGTACTCTTCTGTAGCAGTTGTAGTCGTGATGGTGTAACAAGTAGATTGTCGCCATTTTTTTCAAATCCTTCCTATCCGACATATCTGGTGCTATTTATTTCCGATCTCTGGCAGCACCGATACAAACATGGAGCGGATGCCAAGGCCGATCGACCGTGGTGCAGCTGTAAGATACGAACGGACCGGATGGCGTGCAGATCATTGGCAGTGTACTATTACTATTGCGATATCACCATGGACCAGCACGGATTTAGGAACCTACCAACAGACATCTGACAAATGTGCATTGCCAATGTAACACAGACACACACACAGACACACATGCACGTTATTCTCAGTCTGGCTAGTAGCTAGTGAAGCGATTGCCAACACAGGGTAGGTGTGTACGCTCGCTCGTTGCATACAGAAATGGCACCAGAAGCAGCAGCAGCTAGCAACAGCAGCAGCCATATATAGCATTTGCACACGCACAGTACTTACATAATATAAGAACGTCATGTGCGGGTTAGTGATCACCAAGCTGCTGTTGCTCAGCAAAGCCACAGTGTTCAGGCCTTCCGCCTGCGATTCATGGAACGGAAAGAGCCGCATAAAGGGCCGTACCAGGCGGGTTATTGTATGAATGTATGTATGTATATATGTAAATTTTCAAAATAATGAACACGGGGCCAGAAGCAACCAAATAAACAATCACGTTGTATACGTATACAACGTTGGATACACGTACGACTGTCGTATCCAGCCGTACCATGTAAAGATTCCCAAACAAGCTGCTGATGGCATCCTCCTCCAGAGTATCGATGTAACCAGGATACTACCAGGATACACGCACGTTTCTCCCCTTCCCCCAGGTGAGGCCGTCCTCGACAAGATTTTAACTAGGACTGGCAGAGTCTGCCACCTACTGCTCCCCAACTCGGGAGGTTGCTACCACGTTTTCCAGCCCTGCCTTTTCGACATAGTTCGACGGCCATGTGATAGAAGACGTTTGCGTTAGCCTCCTTTCGCCATTACTCCGGGGGAGGTTCTCGAGAGGGGCGAATGATGAACAGATAACCTACCCTGCTTATTAGCCCGTAGATGGTGTTGAAGTCAGAAATCCTGGGAATGACTTCCTGGGAATAGTCCAGAAAGCCGGTTCCTGCGGCAATAAACATGACGGCTGCAGCGCCAGCTCTGCGCGCATTGATCGCTCTCTGGTCCGCTGTGCAGCTGGTACCGGTGAGATCCACCAGCACAACCGCGCCAGTGTAATTTCCAGTGAGGTTGGTGCAGGCATTTAAGGGAGACGCAACCCGAAACGGCACTTCCTGCAATATCATCATCAGCAGCAGCAACAAGCAGCAGCAGCAGTAGCAGCAAGCAGCAGCAGCAGTTGCAGCGATATCTCTAGATCGGTTAGGCATGGATGCATCCGGGACGGGACGGAGCGCTGTTGTGAACCGCTGCTGAGTGTGTCCGTAAGACCTGTACATATGTATGAATGTCCATGTCCATATTTGCATGACGACTGATGATGATGGCCGGTTAAGGCAACTTTAGACGCGAGCAGGTGATTGCAATCATTTACCAATTGGTAAATGAACCGCTGCTGGCAAGGTCCTGACCAAGTCAAGCTGTTCCCAACATCCTCTACCCATACGCGTCGTTTGGCCCGCTATACTGTTTGTTCCACATAAGTGGATAAAACATGTTAAGTTTTAAACCTACTAGAAACAAAGTTGCTATTAATCAACGAAAATATGCCCAGACAATAAACGTGCCTGTTAGCGCTAGCGCTAATCCTGGCACAAACTGTCCTAGAAATGAGGCGATGAGCAGGGCGTTATGAACGCGGCCGTGTAGTGGAGACGAAACCCAGCTTGGTCATTGCCCATTTCGGTGAAAAACACGCCGTCACCTGATTATCGAGGAGCATTCTCCAATAGTAGTCGCTTTTCCCTAGGTACGGCCACATCTGCAAAATAGCACGTGATGACGTAAATTGTGTGAGTAAACAGCAAACGTTCGCGTTGTACGAAAATACGGTGCCGCGGCACGTAGTAGTAGTAATAATAATAATAGCACCGCTTGCAGTGCAGATCGACCTATCGCGAGCTCCAAGCACTCCCCTCCGTTTCGTGGAGCCGCCAGGTAAATCAAGTAACCGAACATTACGCCCGCGTAATACAAAATTACTGGATATATGTTTCCCTTGAGCTATATACTGCTGATGAGCCATCGACGAGCAAGGAAATTTCTGGCTAGTCTAGTCGGTACCCTGGCAAGTCGGTTCCCCCTCCCCCATGTACACATAAGCGGAGATCCATCCATCCATCCATCTCCTGGATCTCCATTTCCCGATGCTTTCCAATTACATCCGAATTCCCCCACGAAAACGCACCGAATACGATTTCAGGGTGTTGTTCGCATCCCTGTAGCGGAACAGAATTGCCATGTTGTACGGCGAAGCGCTGAAGCCAGCCGGGTGGTTAATCGTTGCGCCGACCGAGAGAACGTTCTGCAAGCAGGAATAATGATGTGGACGAATGATGATGGAGCCGATACCCGGAATTTGGAGGAGTCATCCGTGCTGGACGCACCTTGGCTGTCCCGGGTGCCGTGACCGTGGCCATAAACCCATTGTCGCCTGCGCAAACACCACCAACCAAGTCACATATGTGTGTGTATGTGTGTATGTATGTGTGTGTGTTAATGTAGCTGATGAATGTAGCAGCGCCGCAGCAAGGTCAAAAAGGGGTACACGTACTCGTCGAACCATGTTGTTCTATGGCGCTATCTGACGACTCGCCTTTCCTGCTTTTATATCTACACACAAGCATGTGCAATTCGTTGTCCTTGGAGACAATGTGCGCTCTACTACTTTGCCGCGCCATGCACCCATAGGTCCGCTCGTCCGCTTTCATTCATACAACCACCAAAGAGCCATCAACAGTGTGGCGCCTAATTGCAGTGGTGTCCTTGCGTGCTTACATACACATACATACATACATGCATCATGCGTCGGTGCACAGGCGGAGGCGCCTCCCTCCAAGGATACACATGCCGAAGGCGCCCGAGTGGGCGTCTGCCGCTAAGGACAGACGTCAAGTCAACAATCGCCCCTCTCTTAGGGAATTTAAAAACTGCGGACATGCATTGCATGCGTGCGTGCGCAGCTCCGAAGGTTAGTACACACATACCGACATACCGACATACCATCATTTCCAGCAGCGATGACGGTTAAGAAGTCCGGGTTCCGCCAAGCAAACGCGTCGAATTGCCTGCAGGCTTCATTGTACGACACCGCCAGAGCTCCCGAGTATCCCCAACTGGACGAGCTAATCCTCGCACCCGCTCCGTAATGATACTATGAGAGGAGAGGGGAGAGAGCGGACAGGAAGGCGTCGATGGCAGGGGTACGTGTACGTCGATGCTGTATCGACACTTGTGCGTTGTATTATTATATATAGTAACAGGACGTCAAGTACGGGTGTACGGCGGTGCTGCAGTGGTACGACAGACGTGCATCGGTGTACCAAACGACAGGTTTGCCAACGAGTTCCTTTTGCCAGCTTCTGTAAAAGCACACACATACACACACAGAGAATACCTATCTACTTCCGACCCTAGCCTTCGTCCGGCTCTTGGGCCCCCTGCCCTCGGTCTCGTGCACCTGTTACACCTTTTACATCTTTGGAGAGTAACGCAACTCCAGGTGATATCTAACATACACATGCCATAATCCGGTTCACCTACCTGTCGGCGATGCATTTCTGTCAGGCAAAGGCAGGTCGCAGCTGAGTATATATATATACTGATGGTGTTAAGGTTTTAGGGCTATACCAGTTTGTAAAAAATGTGACTCGGGGCATCCACGGCCCTACTGTAGCAAACACCAAGTCTCCCCAACCCAAACGTTTAAGGCAGCAAGCGTGCCGACCCCCAGCGCCACAGCCCTTCGCACGTGCACGCACTCTTAAGAGGTGAGGTATTTATGACCGGTAGCAATCAATAAGCTTATATCACCGCGCTCAGTTGCGTGGGTGTACCCACCGGCTGTAGCATCTATCAGGATTTACGAATCAGGGGATTTACAGTGGATTTACGAATCATTCATACATATCAGCCCCTCTCCGTATAGATGATATCATGCATGAGTTGTCCGTATGCATACGCATACGCATGCGTGTACACACGTGTTCAATTCGGACCTACCGGCAGTACTTTGTCGTCCAGGGGCATGGGCACGAATATACCATTGCTGGGCGAAATGTCAAAGAAACTAAGACGCGCCTGCGGTGCGCTGCCAGTCCCACGATGGTTTATCAATGAGCCGTTCTTGCTGGCAAAGGCGGCGCCTGCAATGCTGCCAGCTGCATGCGTTCCATGACCGTAGGGCTCATCCCCGAACCAGCGGTTAATGCCTTCGGGCGGGTGGAGAGGGCGTGGAATTAAGCGAAGTGACGACAACCGATTGAGTGCAGGGGTGGGCAGGTGTAGGCATGCAAGCAACGAGGCAAGCAAGACGGGCGCCTGAAATTATAACCCGTTGAAAGACCCCTTTCGGGCTCACAAACCCTGCCTGGTTGGAGCGCCTGTACAGTGTCCAAATGCAACGGATGGTCAGGCTTCGACCCACATTCATACGGTGTACACGGCTCCTGCTGGAGCTCTGATCGTGTTCTAAAGTTCTTTGGTTCTGCTTGCGGCCCTCAAATGCTTTGCAACTGCGATGGTGTCGAGGAGCGTACACGGGCCGAAACGCCCCTCAGTTCCCCACACCCACTGGCTAGGCTGCGGCCGCCTGCATTCCCTTGTTATTTCTCCTTCAAAACGATTCTCCTTCCTTCCTATTAACTTTCCTCCTTCGCAATATTTTCCCCCTTATCTTTCCTCCTTTACGACGATTTTTTCGATTGTCACGACATTTTAGCGTCTGTCAGTCTGCCGTGTGCACGTGTTTTGTCGACGCTACAGTCGTATGATGCGACACGATTCCGCTGTAACGGGATTCATCTCAAATCACTCAGTAGACCAAACCGAACTTGTTCTCCTACCAGAGTTAATTGGAAGCATATATTGCACGACTTTGCGATGATATGGCAGGTACAGACGAGGCGGCGACCCGACGAATAGCGTCCGTAGGCTTCCGGTTCGCCATCGGTCGTCTATGAAGTTGCAGTGGCTCATGTCGAGGCCGGAATCTTCCAGCTGCACGGAAAGAGAGCGAGACAAATCTGGACGTTTGAAACAGACAAACATGAGCAAAAACGATTGCGCGAGCAAACGATGATGTAAACGATATAGATCGATATGTAGGTAATGATAGGTAATGATAGGTCAGTCGCTCGCCCCCCTATTAGTTTTTTTTATTAGGGGGCCCCTGACAAAAGACATAAAGTAACTTACCCCAACGATGACTCCCTGGCCCTGGAGGTTGGCTGCCCAGTAAGGACGCAAACCGGAAGTAGGACTGATATAAGTGTCCATCGAAAGGCTTCCTGCGCATCGTAAAAGCTGGTGAATATGTAAGTTACGAACACACGCCAGCCGCAGTGAAAAAGCGCGTGCGCGCGCGCACAAGCAGCAAAAAAACAGGACAAATAAAGAGATTTGCCATGTAACGGAATACGCGCGCATCGGAGGTTACCACGTAAACATCCACACCATCGCATTCTGCTGTAGCATGCTCTCTCAAGGTGGGACGAATCCACCATGCGGTCGGATGGCTCACAGAGCAGATGCGTGCATATTATCATTACAGGCTAGCCTGTCTATTGCATGTAATACTAATAATTGCTACTCGCGCAAGGGAATAACGAACCTGTTTGCATGATCCAACCCGCCGCGGCGTTGCGCGCTGCCGGCTTGAGTGAAGGCTCCACCCAGACAACGGTGTCTAGTCTAGTCAACCAAGTTACCCCTTGCTCGTAGTCCTGAACAGGCAGCATACAGACATACAGACGACTTAACGACGCCCAGCATGCAGACATACAGACATACTGCCCAGCTCAGGCTCCGCAACAAAACGCATACGATGTCGGTGAAGATTCAGAAAGGGATTTTTCATCCCTTAATTCTTTTTGCCCCGCGTCATTCGGTTACTTCACTCCACTCCGTGTCACATGCCCTACTTTTCAGCCGTTGGTACTGTCTTATGATGTACGATTGCCCTTTAGGGGAACCTGGCTAGCCAGCCGCCTTCACAGGGACGCGCAAGCACGACACGCAAGCGTAACGCAACCGAGGTGTAACACACACATACACACACATACACACATACACACACATATACACACATACACATACATACACATACACATACACACATACACACATACACACACATACACACACAGCAACAGCAGCAGACGGCATTCAACAATCAGTTGCACTAACCAGCGTTCACCCCAGCTTTTTAATAATCTACCATAGATACCGCGCATGCACGTACTGGAGACGTACTGGGACTTTTCTCTATCACATGTGCATGCATGTGCCCACATGTGTGTATATGCTAACGCCCATCCCATGCTGAACCTGGAAACCTGGTAAGGCAACATGCACACGAATTTCCGTACTTTACCGCACACGCAGGCATCCCTACATGGACGTGAGTACGTCTCACACAAATGCACGACAACGTACCTGCAAGCAGAAGTATACCAAGAGGATGGGCGATGCCTGGCTGTACAGCCCATCGGATGCGGCCTGGGGCCGACATTTGTCGCCAGCCCCTGCCCTCCCTAAAGCATCTGCCAGCGCTGCCGGCCACGCCTGTGCAATCGTCCTGCGGGCCTTATCGGACAGAGTAGGAGTCAATCGGACCGTCACGGCATATAGCTCCGGAACCACGATCGCAGAGCCGTTGCCGTCCGCGCCCGGCGGTGGCGGTAGTGGCTGAGTGGTGTTGTTATCTGTAGGCTGGAATAACTTGTTGTACAACCGCCAAGTGTTGAGGCCTCTAAGAACGGAAAAAGAGGATTGGGAATTTACTTCGTCGGCTGCGTCGTCATCTGTTGGGCTGCTGGAACCGCCTGCGGATCCGCGAATGCCTTTCCCCGCGTTATTGGACGCCGCTGGCCCTGCTACGTTGTTGCCATTACCACCGCCGTTGCCACTGTCGTTGCCGCTACTGTCGCTTGCGATAGTGTTAGCGTCGGCGCTACTGCCACCGCCGGCCTTACTGCCGCCGCCGGCGCTGCTGCCGCCGCCGCCGTTGCCACCGCCGCCACTGCTACTGCTATTGCTTCTGCTGTTGGATGCAGCAAGGCCTCGGCGGCGGTTTTTCATCTGCATCTCCGCCGCTTTGGCTGCTGCTGCTGTGAAGACCGCTGAGGCCTCCGGGGCCACCTTAAATGCTGGCGTGTACTCGGCCTTCAGTATTCGTCAACCGACATTCCATAAGGGCACACATACATACATACACACGTACACACGCACAAAAACGAAGTGGTGAGTTGGCGTAGATTGTGGGATGGGGTGGGGTGATGTGGGAAGTAAGAACCGCAGGTAATGGTCTTCTTCAATGACCTGAAGTGAGAAACGGTAAAAGCACAAATATGGGTGCGGAACATACAGCAGGTACAGGACGATCACCGGAGGGAGGGAGGGAGGGAGGGAGGGAGGGAGGCAGGCAGGCAGGCGAGTAGGCAGGCAGGCAGGCGGGTAGGCAGGCAGGCAGGCAGGCAGGCAGGCAGGCAGGCAGGCAGGCAGGCGGGTAGGCAGGCGGGCAGGCGGGTAGGCAGGCAGGCAGGCAGGCAGGCAGGCAGGCGGGTAGGCAGGCAGGCAGGCAGGCAGGCAGGCAGGCAGGCAGGCAGGCGGGTAGGCAGGCAGGCGGGTAGGCAGGCAGACGGGTAGGCAGGCAGGCAGGCAGGCCATAGTTACGTGAGTAAATCCAACCCCTGCATGCTCTCTACGCACTATGTCTCAGCCGCCCCGTAAAGCCGCATCCACTTACTGCCAGTGCATTGTAGCGAGCTGCTACGCTTATAGCATCGGACTTGGCTAGTACGAGCAGCGTGTTGTACGCCACATACTCAAGGATGCTGGCACCAGCTCTTAAAATGTTGGCACGCATGTCCCGTACAGTATCTACATGTACGCATTAAAACAGGTAGGCAAAGATAAACGTTTGCGTAAAAAATATCTAAGCAGGTCTAAAATGGCCTAAGTAGATCTGAACAGTTTTAGGCAGGTCTACAGCAAGGTTTAGCACGTTCAGAGCAGAGTACAATAAGGCCAGAGCAGAATTCCACAGAATTTCACAGCTCCTATGTCAGGTTATGGCTAGGAGCCCAAACGTTTTGGCGTAGGCATCTACGTACCCTCAGAATAGCGAAGCAATATGAGCTTGCGGCCGTCCTTATCCCTGCCGTGTGGTACATTAGCTGGTGGGCCCCCGGCCCCGCCCCCGCCATTGGAATTGCCGCCAGCTGCTTCGGCGGCGACGGCGGCAGCAACCGCACTGGACACCTCGGATGCCTTCCTGTACGCGTGTGTGCCAGGCCAGTGCCGCGCCAAAGGGACGGCGCGAGAAGGGAAGGGGATGAAGGGCGCAATGAACAAAAGGGCGGACGGTGGGAAAGGCAAGAACGGGAGCGGTGAAATGACGGCCAGGCGAGTGTCTCAAGGTAATAGACGCGGCGGCGGCGGCCAAAACGTCAACGGCAGCCGCAGGTAGGTGGTGTGCGCTGGTCGGAGACCTACTTACGGCGCGTCGTTTAGGACGCCTCGCCACTACACGGCGCGCTTCAGGCCTTCTTTCCCGTTGTACACTGTTTGCTAGTGCGTACGAACATGCCGTGCATGTACGAGAGGTACACGAGCACCCTGGGATGTGAAGAAACAAAAACTCTTTCAGCCGCCCACTGTTCGTAGCGGCCCGGTATCTTTATCAGGTGTTAAATTGCGTCAGGTTTTCATATAGCAACAGCCTCTTAGAGGCAACACTGCTCGGCAACACTGCTCGCTGAGCGGGGGTTGTTCTGTCACAGGGATATAAATCCGTTTTCCAGGAACAGACGTTTCAGCTGCCGTCGTTTTAACTGTCGAACCGCATACATGTGGCTAGGACGTCTCTGTGGCATGTGTAAGCTGATCCTGGTAGACATAGTAGGTACCCTCGCTACCCTTTAGTTGCGCCCTCGCGCGCCTCTTGCTAGCTACGACCACTAGGCGGCACACCGCAAAGCCAGATGCAGTGACAAAATCAATTCGGGCTTTTGTGCGTGCTGTTAAAGATGAGGGAAGGCAGTTGGCCGGGCGTGCCTCCGATAGAAGGAAAGTTTATGTCACATGCTGCAGCTTACTATTGAAACGCCGTACAAACAAGAGGGCTGGAAAGATTCCACTGGTCTTTGTGATGTGCTCTGGAGTCTGAAGCGTTAGGAAGTGGGTCTGCAAGTCTGCGTTGTGGAGCCTCGGCGATGATGCACAGAAGTTAGCCCGAGGTTCTCCGAGTGCAAATGCAATTTTCATCGTTACATCTATTAATTTAGACGTTCATTTGCGATCATAAGGTTATGCTTCGCCGGGCATAACGGAAGCTTAAGCACGATAACTAAAGGATGCGCAGCCAACGTTAACGTACTTAACGGCAAGAACTTGGCGCAACTCAGTACGATTACACGGCATAGACAACACAGCTAAACAGATCATTATAACTGGTGGACTCACCTCAAAGGTACAAACCCGTTCCGCAGCTCGACGATGGAGTTATCGTCTTGAGCTTCAGCAGCCGTGGTGCTCCACAAAGCTAATAGTGCAATGACAATGAAAACGTCCCTCCGCACGCCCTGTCTAACCAACGCTTGGAGAATGCGCCCCATCGCGCCTAGGCACAAAAGTCGTGAGGCCAGGAACGCGCTACTGGGTGCTCACCATGCCGCGTGCGTCATAGGAGAGTAAGCTTTACTTACTCACACTTGTTGCCGTAATGTTGGCTAAGCTTTAACAGTTAAGGTTCCCTGGACTTAACTGACATTGCGACTTCTCCACAACTCATAATGCACTCGAAGTCCAATGCCAGCAAGTTTACATATTTTACCTAATCTGGTAAAATACCAAGCCCTCACTTAAATTGAAAGTCTCTATGCGTCAGCGGAAAGCAGCCCCGTCTGCAGCTTAATCGTTTCGCAATTGTTGAAGTCCTTGATGCCACAGCACCAGTGCAAACCTGACGAACTAACGTATACACTAGCGCGTGAATATATCCTATCTGATGGGTTATCGCGCTTGCCGCTGAGTCAAGAAGTGTGCCCGCCACAAGCAGTCAGCGCAGCGGATTAGAAGGCATCGTTATCGAGGGTATGGAATGATAAAATAATTTATGCGACGTTATATGTCATGTACAAAGCTTCGCCTAAGCACAGGGGCTGTGGCGGAGCTTATTACTCCAGGAATGAACGGCAAAGGGTAGTTGGGTTGGAATCATAAATCGATTCCATGCAGTTGGTAAAGCTGGATGCACAGACGAGAGCCAAAAGCGAAAACGAGTGAGCTGGCTGGCGTCCGTGATGGCAAGCTTCAGCTATGTCAGACTTGATTGCTTAGGGTTCAGGTCAGCTTGAGGGGTTGCCCACCAAAGGAAAAAAGCAGGCTTTATTGCTCCAATACCAAATGGCGGCATGTTCAGAGCTACTTGTACTTATTAAGTCCAAGTGCAGTTTACATAGCCACGTTGGTAGTTGATATCTGTGCAAGTATGCAAGTAAGCTGGCCCTGCGGGGGTTCTGAGAATCACGCACAATTTGTATTTTGGGTTTCCAATGCTGTACACACATGCTCTGATATGAGCCCGCTGTACTGGAAGAAAAACTGGAAGAGAAGCTCGGAGCTCAATTGGGGAGCACCAAAAAAACATGGGAGGAGTGCAAAGTTTATCTGAAGCAGGAGATGGCGTTCTTACATTTCAGGGACACAGGCTCATCGCGGTGGCTGCACGCATTTTCAGACATGAGTGGGAAGATCCGCGGGCGCGGATGGGTGAGCCCTAACAGGATCTCAGTACAAACATCGGTAGCTGGTACGTACTAGTAGTACGGCACACATATTGTCTTCAAATACGCGCTAAGCGCACACACCAGCATCTCGAGAGCCTTTTCGGTGGCCAGCTGTTACAAATGCTGTCGAGACTGTGTACATGTTAACGATTCTGGAGCTGCAGTTCGGCCCAGACGAACCACAAAGTACATATCATGCCAGAAGACAACAATGGTTATTTGCAACTTTTGACAAACTGTTGCTGTGATTATCTAGAAAGACTCTGTGCCTGGAAAATCTGAAGATGGTCAGGCGCATGTGAGTCTAGGCACATGACCAGGGTTCGACACCCCGTACGGGGCCCGTAAGTTTTTGGCCTTTTTTCGGTATCACCGTAAGGGCCCGTAGGACTTTGCGGTGGCTCCCGTAAGGATTTTAAGGATTTATAAGAGGCCGTACGGGGCCCGTAAAGTCCCCCGTAGGGGAGAGGGCGGACCGATTGCCGACTGCCGTGCAAGGTTGTAGTACCCTTTGACCATATAAAGGATAAGGCCACACACTTGGCAGACATAATTCATATTGCAATATTTAACTACACTTTTCATAATACTTTTATAACTTCTGGTTTGTAACATCCAGCGATGGCAGACAAGGAGTCGTCAGGAGGTGACCGCGGCGGCCAAGGCGCTTGGCTTTCACTGAGTGTGCCGTGTCCCCGAGTGTAATGGTTCACGAGAAAATAACGAAAATAACGATTTACAGGGCAAAAAATTCAAAGCGTCACTTTCCACAGCGTTTCAGCCAAGGACAGTGCCCCCGTATAGGTTTTGCGGGGGTTACGGGGGCCCCCGTAAGGTTTTCGGCCGGTACAGGAGCCTGGTACGGGGGCCCCTCCGTAAGGAAAATTTGGGAGGTACGGGGGAGCCCGCAAGTTTCAGGAAGGTCAGTGTCGAACCCTGCACATGACGTGACGTGGACTTGAACATCCCACTGCCCGAGGGTAGGTGAAGGTAGGCACAGGCTGGTGGTATATGTGGCCGTAAGGGCCCGAGACGGATCCCTCCAAAGGGAAAGGAATGTGATAGCTGATACATAGTATGGTAGACATATCATCTTCAGATACACGCTTAACGATCTTGGGAGGCCTTTTCAGCGGGGCCAGCTGCTACAGTGCCCTTGGCTGTTCAGATGCGCATGCTAGACAGGCCACTGCTGCAGCCGGCATGCCAGTGGGTGATGATTAACAGTGATGATGTGGACATGCAATGGACAGACCTTAATGGCGGGCTCATGGATTTTGCCTGCATAGCCTGCTTACATTTTGCCTACGATGGAAAAGGCCTCACCACCATCAGCATTCGTGTGTGCCAACTGCATATGCAGTCCGCATCGAGGAAGGCAGTGTCGAACATGAGGATCGAGGAGGCGGGCGTGATGAACATGGGAAGACTTGTCGTGCATGTACTTTAGCAGCTGGGCGATGAAGACACAAGCAGCACATGTATGCAATATGTTCTGCAGGGCTGTCTCAGGCAAGGTACCCGGATGGGTACAGCAGCTGGTCAGAAATCCAGCAGCAGGCTTGACGGAGGGGTTAGTGTGGTCTGCTGCCCAGCCTGCCCAGGCTTACCCAGCTAACACACCACGCAATGGCAAGTCTGTTTCGAGCAGCATTTAGCACTTGCTGCACCCTTGCTGGGATACCGCAGTAGCTGCCGTACACAGTACGGCACACATAACGTCTACAAGTATGCGCTAAGCGCGCCCACCAACATCTCGAGAGGCCTTTTCAACGGCCAGCTACTTCAGACACAAGAATAAACATCCTCCATGAGCATATGGCATAGGCATTCTAATATCGTTTAAGGACAGTAAGGTGTTCGAGATGATGTCTGCCGTACGCACGTGTTTTGTCGATGCTACAGTCGTATGATTCGACAGCTAGTGGCCAAAGTGCGGGCTGCTACACTTGTCTTTTGCTTGATTGGAAGTCAGTCAGGTAGCACATGTCTGCTTGTAACGACGCAAAAAGCCAATCTGAGCATCCCGGGTTGCGCCTTTGCTGTGTTACACTGCTAGGCTAGTATAACAGTGCATGTAAGCACGGGTTGGCCGACAGTAGCCATATCAGGAGATGCACAAGAGAATACCATCAGATATCCATACAGACGTACATGTGATACAGGCACTGTGTAGTATCCCGGAGGGGATATGCAGTAGCCGGCCCCGCTGAAAAGGCCTCTCGAGCTGTTGGCGATCGCGCTTAGCGCGCATTTGTAGACGTTATGTGTGCCGTACTGTGTACGGCAGCTACTACAGCATATCACGGCATCTGCATCCACCGATCGGTATTTTTCTGAAGCCGTGATATAACGCACTGCTGGTTGTAATTGTGCAGGATGTTATGATGGCATCAGCTGGTGTCGAAAGCAATATGGCTGTGACACTCTTACATCACTGCAGGAATTGTTACATTCATATGAGTGCGTATCCATACATGTTGGCACCATGTATGTATATTGTTACAGGGTGGTACAGCTTCACCAGCGGCCCCTTAAATCCCAAGGCAATTCCCTGCTCACCCCTGCGAGAGGGGCACCCTAATCCATTCACCCCATCCGGTTTCAGAATGTATTCGTTGGGTTCAGCAACTCACCACCAGCATCCAACCAACTCTAGCGGATCAACGGCGCCACAACTTAGTTCCTGGTCAGCTCGTAAATTTCTATAATCACGTCCTACACCGACCACGAGATGGGGGTCCACCTCCCACTTCAACACCCCTCATACACCGAGGGATCGGCAGGCGGATTTGAACTCCGAACCCGGAATTAGGTATGTATGCACAAGTGGAATATGTACATCTTCACATGTATTATCTACAACCCTGTCGCGTGTTTATTGCTGCAAATACACAACACATTTACTTGGTCATGACCATGCGCAGCTTTGAGGTTTAATAGAGCGGCTTAACTAGCGGGAGTGGTGATGTAGTGATGAATGGATGAGACGTGCAGGTGGGGGGGTTCGTGTGGGATGATGCATGATAACCATATGGTAGTCCCTGTGAGGGGAGGCTGTGTGCGCGAGCGTATGATGACCTAGGAGAAGCGGGAATACAGCAGGCGAACAGTAGAAGTAGAAGAGCTTTCTCTTGCGTTTTGTTTTTTTGACGCGATTATTGCTAATCAACCAGCATGGCCCCTATGGTTCGGCCCCCTCTGTCAGGCCATTTCGGCACCTTTTCTGACGATGGCGATATCTCAGGGATTGGGCATGAGTGTGATTAAGGTGTGCCATCACCATCACCGCCACCACCACGACCATACCACGCCCTGCTCAGCAAAGCAGTGTTAGGCAAATTATGAACCTACCCACTAGTCCGTGGAGCTGTTCACATAACGCAAAACGTACACATTCTAATAGACGTATATGGATATAGTGCCCTTTGGCTGAAATTCCAAGGAAAGGTGCCATATGGACCACCTTGTCAACCTATTGCGCCAATCTAGTGACATGGACGCAAAGCAGTTGCTTGGGGACATCGGCTTGACACCACTTCATGCTGCTCTGGTCGTCTCGAAAGTTTGTCCTAGCATAGCCAGAGGGGTGCAAAGTGGTCCTAATCCTCTAATCCAGGGGGTGGGTACCGGTCAGCAATCCTCTAATCTCAACAGGGGTGGACCACTTCTATTCCCTAATCCAGAGTGGTGGTCTAATCCATATCCTAGGGTCGGGGTTCTAATCTTAATCCTGTGGCCGGGTCCCAATCCCAATCCTGGGGGGGGGTCCCAATCCTAATCCCGGGGCCGGACCGCAATCCTAACTCTGAGGCTGGGGTCCCAATCCTAATCCTCTTGGTCGTGTCGTAATCCTTATCGTGGAGCTGTTATCGTGTGACTGATTCGGTAAAACC